TCTTTTGAGGATACAGACAGTTTCACTTGCCTTTGTTCCTCTGTGCTCGCCACCCCCCCACCCCTGCACCCTGTCCCCTCAGCCTGCCCAGCCGGGTCCTCTTGTGCCCTCCTCCCTACACCTCCGGGCTCAGGTGTCGGGATGAACACAGTGTCAGTGTGTGAGCGGCAGGGACAGTCCACACACACAGCCTTGTGCCTCCTTGGGCTCTGTCGTATTCCCCTCCTCCCTCTCTCACCCCTTTCTTCTCAACCTGGGTTTGCGTTCCTGCTATGTAGGCAGCAGTTAAATGTCAGGGTCCTGGAGCCAAGTCCTGCTGGGTCCCTGGCCTCATTCAGCACTAACTAGCTAGCCATGTCCCTCGACTTCAATCGCCTTACTGTAAGTAGGGATCAGAGCAGGACCTGCCCTGGGTTATTGCGAGCATTTACTAGGAAGCACTTTTCACACTGTCTGCCACAAGGTAAGTACTGTTGGGGCTCAGAAAATGTCACCCCAAAGTCTGGTGCTTTGGCTTGCTAAGTATTGTGAACTAAAGGAGGCTGGACGGCCTCGGAAGCAAGGTCCCCGTGGCCTCCTCCTGACCCCCTGTGTCCTGCCCCCTTCTCCCTGACATGAGTCATAGAGACTGCAATTCCTCCTTCCTCAGGGCAGGTCATCGAAACTAGGACCCCTGTCCCCCATAGCAAACCATGAAACCTAGAAAGGTCACTCTCTCCCTTCTCCTTTGAAGACCCTCATTCCAGGGATCGGGTCCTGCCCCACACCCAGGAGGAAGCAACGCTACACAGCTACAGAGAGGCCAACAAGACTCTGGACAGGCCTTGCTGGGTCTCTGCACTCAGTCTGTAACCATGACCACTTCTCAGGTTATTATCGATCGCATTTCCACACGGCTGTCCATTCTTCATCGAATCTAGGCACAAAAATGGGCCATTTTCCCTGGGTCTTCGGGTCTTCATTTCTGAAGGCTCCCGTGTCATGGAAAATTTTGATTAAAAAAACTTGTGCTTTTCTCTTGTCTTTTTTGTAGGCTTGTTGGCTATGATCCTATGGTGGGCGAGGAAAGGTATTCACACCTTTCTGTCCCTACAGTACTTAACCACTTCGGTACCAGCATCGACTGTAGTCGACAGCCACAGATGAACGCACACAGCGACTTTGGCCGACAGCCATGATATGACTTTTCTAAGTTTTCATTTATCAAAATAAAATTGTGAACACTTAAAAATAACGTAATGAAAACATATATGTATATGTTACCTATTCTGACTTACATTACAAGTAAAGCTGCCTGTAAAGTAAAACAAGCTTTCAGTGCTCTTCAGCTTTCCTCATGCACACAAGAGCAACAGACGGACTCGCTCAATGCACAGCCATCTACACCGTCGGAGCTGTGAGTGCCGGCTGTGGGGCAAGAGTTTTCGTGGCCGGTGAGCGCCAGTAACAAAGTGGTTAATAAATGTCAGCTCTAAGCCGGGGAGTTATTTGTTTTGCATTTTCTCCTTACAAAGTGATCAAATTTTAATACATACCTAAAGGCTTAGATTAAAACAATCTAGGATCTGGAGTGAATAGGAATATTTTTAGAAGGAAGCCAATAAATATATAATAACAACAACCATAAAATAATACTACATGCTTATCACACTTATCTAATAATGTTATAGTATCACCACTTATTGAGAATTATCCTTCTAAGTACTTGCTGATCAATACAACACTTCGACTACCGCGCTAATAATAATAAACATACGCAGGCAATCTAAAGTCAATCGGATAAGCCATTTGGCTGGTCCTGCAACAATACTACAAAAACAAAACATAACACAATGCAGACTGCGACACAACCACACATACAGGATAGCGACTGGGCCCTCAAGGGGAGCATGTAAGCCAGGCCAAAGACAATAAGAGAAAGAGAGAGACACACAAATCACAGACACAATTCAACAAACACCCCTCAACAACAACAACAACACCACAAACCACCACCACCAGATGAACCTCTTCTTGCCTTGGCGAGACTATGCGTCTTTTTCTTCTTTCACAGAGTCTCCGCTATTGAATAATATATATATAGCCCAGGCTAGAGCTGAGAGCCAAAAAGATGGTCACAAACTACGCTCAACAGCAACCTCAGACTAACAAACACATATTAGAGAGACAAACAAAAAAAAAAAGCGATCCTGCATACACATCAGCACAACAAAAAAAAACAACAAAAAAAAAAAACAAAAACAACAAAAATACAAAAATCAGGGACACTACAGGACAGACATAACCCACAACACACGACAACACACCAGACAAACAAGAACAAAACACAAACCCCCAGCAAAAAAAACAACAAAACAAACACACAAAACCACGCATAATGTTTTCTATATAAAAACAAAAAAAAATTCACGTGGACAAATAATAATCTTTCTATTTATAGTAGAGAGCGGCACTTGCAATCCTTATATATAAGACAAAATTAACACAGCAATAGTAATTACGACATCACATATATCACAGACAATACACCCACATTTATATACGAAGACTCAACAGAGTCAGACAGGCATGAGCCCAAAACCCAACAAAACACAGGACAGAACTTAGACACAACTTAGTTTTATATTATATATTAATAGATTATATAATATCATTATAATTAATAATATTTTATCATATATATTATATAAATTCTATATCTGAAGACAAGAACGAGACTACCATTTTTTTGTCACACTAATTTGAGTGCCTATGCGTCAGCCTAGCCTGACAGCAACCTCGAACTCTCTGGGCTCGATCGTGATCCTTCTGCGTCAGCCTCCGATAGCTGGGACTACAGGCATGGTCCCTATGCCCGGCTATTTTTTTTTATATATATATACTGAATATACATAGTATCAGTTGGCCAATTAATTCTTTCTGTCTTATACGTAGAGACGGGGGTCTCGCTCTTGCTCAGGCTGGTTCTGAACTCTGACCTTTGAGCAACTCCCGCCCTCGGCCTCCCAACGAGCTAGGATGTACATGGCGTGAGCACAGCGCCGGCCGCATCCTTTGCATATTATCTGGGGACCCACCCAGGCAGCTTTGTGGGTTCCCACTTGGTTTCTCCCCTCCTGGAAACAAGAACAAACACTTTCCTAGTGTCATCCCCAGGAAAGTTAATGTTTTTCTCTGGTGATGAGTGAAGGATGGGTGGGGAGGAGCTGGCGGTGGGGGGGGGGACGAAAGTTCCTCTCTGGGGGTGGGGACCAACAAGCTTTAAGATGCCAGGTGAGACAGCCCTTTCTTTCCCCAATTCCAGCATGTACTACTGAGGATTTGTACAGGGAGGAATTTCTGTTGGTTTTCCTTAGAGTTTTCTAAATATTTTGATATGTTGACTTAAGTGGGCTCCAGCCAGTAGGCTCCCTGTATATTGATCATAACAACAGCTTATATGTATTACCCAATTACTAAGTTCCAGGCCACGTTCCGGGCATTTTACATTGAAACGGACTCTCTCCTTGGCCAAACTTTAGTTAGACTGTTCTGAGCCCTCTTCTTTTTTTTTTTTTTGTTAGAGACTGGGTCTTGCTCTTGCTCAGGCTCGTCTCAAACTCCTGAGCTAAAGCGATCCTCCCAGAGTGCTAGGATTACAGGTGTGAGCCACCATGCCCAGGTTGGACTCTCTCCTCTTGACCAAACTTTACTAGATTGCTCTGAGCCCTCTTCTTCTTCTTCTTTTTTTTTTTTTTCAGTAGAGATAGACAAGGGTCTGGCTATGTTGCCCAGACTGGTATGGAAATCCTAGGCAAAAGCAATCCTACCCCCTCAGCCTCCCAAAGCGCTGGAATCACAGGCATGAGCCACTGTGCCCTACCCCACCCAGCCCTCTTCTCAGTAGGCCTTGACCTTGACCTTCTGTAACTTCCAGTTCTTGCTGGGCCTGCACAACCCAGTTTTATCAAGAATCCTGCTAATTTGGGGGGAGGGGGCATGGGCAATACACATAACCTTAACATTTGTACCCCCATAATATCTGAAATAAAAAAATAAATGGAAAAAAAAAAGAATCCTGCTAATTTCACAAGAATCCTGGCCAGGCATGGTGGCTCACACCTGTAATCCTAGCACTCTGGGAGGCCGAGGCGGGAGGATCGCTCAAGGTCAGGAGTTTGAAACCAACCTGAGCAAGAGCGAGACCCTCTCTGTACTAAAAACAGAAAGAAATTAATTGGCCAACTAAAAATATATAGAAAAAATTTGCCGGGCATGGTGGCACATGCCTGTAGTCCCAGCTACTTGAGAGGCTGAGGCAGGAGGCTCGCTTGAGCCCAGGAGTTTGAGGTTGCTGTGAGCTAGGCTGATACCACGGCACTCTAGTCTGGGCAACAGAGTAAGACTGTTTAATAAAAAAAAAAAAAAGAATCCCCCCACCCTTGCTGTCTCCTCATAGTAATTTCCACCCACTGACTCCCTCACTCTGCTCTCTGGCTATAAATGGGAGCTGAGCCCAGTCCCCCTCTCCTGTGGCAATGACTGTATTGCGATAGTTTTGATCAGTCTTCCTTGCCTGGCAGCTTTAACAAGTGTCAGAATAGTTTTTTTCTTTAACAATTTGAATTAACTCACTTATCCTCACAAGGATCCCATGCAGTAGGTATTGTGAATAACCCGTGTACACCGGGAGGGAGAGGGGAGAGAGGGATGAGACACCAGCTGCTGCCACATGGGCAGTTTGCACCTGGACGGCCCCCAGGCCCTCCTGGCCGTAGCTGGTCCCCTCAGCCCGCCTTGTGGGACATGTTAGCCAGGCAGGAGGTGGCGCCCTGTGCGACACGAACCCGGAACTTGTGAACTTGTGCCAGCCTCCCCCGCGTCCCGCCCGGGCGGTGGCGGGAACCTGGAGCCCGGAGGAGGGCGCGAGCTGACCACGCCGTCTCCTAGCGACCGCGCGGCGGCCACGTGACCCGCCGGCCCGACTCACGTGGCCCCGAGCGGAGCCCGGGTTGGGGCTGGAGCAGCGCGCGGGCCGGGGCCGGCAAGTTTGTCGCCGGAGTTCGGAGCCCGGAGCCCCCGCGGCCGCCGCGCCGGTGCCCTCCGCCTGGTCGCGATGGAGCTGCCCGCGGTGAACCTGAAGGTGGCGGCGGGCGGGGGGCCTCTCCCGCTGGGGGGGCGGGGGCCTCTCCGCTGGGGCGGGGGGCCTCTCCCGCTGGGCGGGGCGGGGGCCTCTCCGCCTGGGGCGGGGGCCTCTCCGCTGGGGGGGCGGGGGCCTCTCCCGCTGGGGGGCGGCCTCTCCCGCTGGGGGGCGGGCGGGGCCTCTCCGCTGGGCGGGGCTCTCCCGCTGGGGGGCGGGGGCTCTCCCGCTTGGGGGGGCGGGGCCTCCCGCCCCACAGCGGCGGAAGGCCGCCGCCCCCAGACGGTGGAGCGCCCCGCCCGCCGCCACCTTCAGTTCACCGCGGGCCAGCCTCCCTCGCCACCAGGCGGAGGCACCGGCGCGGCGGCCGCGGCTCCGGGCTCCGAACCGGCGACAAACTTGCCGGCCCCCGCGCGCGGCTGCTCCAGCCCCAACCGGGCTCCGCTCGGGGCACGTGAGTCGGGGCCGGCGTCCACGTGGCCGCCGCGCGGTCGCTAGGAGACGGCGTGGTCCAGGTCTCGCGGCCCTCCTCGGCCTCCAGGCGTCCCAGCCACGCCGCCGGCACGCGCGCGGGGGAGGCTGACAGCACAGTTTCAGCAAAAAGATTTCCGGGCTGCGTCGGCAGGGCGCCCCTCCTGGCCTGGCCTCAACAATGTCCCACAAGACGGGCTGAGGGACCAGCTACGGCCCAGGAGGGCCGGGGGCCGTCCAGCGTGCAACCCCGGCTCGGGCGGCACTGTCCCATCGGGCGCAAGGCCAGCTGGTGTGCCATCCCCCTCTCTCGCCCTCTCCCCTCCGGTGTAGCGACCGGCTTATGTCACGAATCACCTAGCTCCATGGGATCTTGTGAGGCATAAAATGACGCTTAATGCAAATCTGTTAAAGAAAAAAACTATGCTGACACCTTGTTAACAGCTGGGCCCAGCAAGGGAAGACACCTGATCAAAACTATCGCGAAGAGCAGTCCATCCTGCCACCAGGAGAGGGGGAGCTCGGTCGCAGCTCCCATTTCGATAGGCCAGAGAGGGCAGAGTGAGG